ATGTGCGAAGGATACACGTTTGACAAAAAAACACAGTCACACACACACACACACACACACACACACACACACACACACACACACACACACACATACAGTATATACACAAAGGTCACCTTCCTTGGCTTCATTAGAGACTGCTTTATTATGGCTGACAGATGTGCCCATACATCATAGGTCCCCTGGTGGAGCGAGAGAAGATACAAAACAAACTGATGGAGGTGTAACACACTGAGAAAGGGAAGGTGATAGATAACACAGACACAACAGCTTGCACCCATATACCAATACACTGGCTGTTGACAGTGTCTTCAATAGATGTCTGCCATTGTACTGCCTAAAGAAAGCGTCTGGGGAGAGATCAGCAGCTTTTGTTACATTGCCTTTTGTCACTGAGAAAAAAATTGACTGGAATTTTTATCTTTGGGGAAAATTAAGTTTTAAAGATGCTTCCGATTCTAATAAACCCAAAGTGAGTCTGATAAAACCCAATCAAGTGTTTTTCTATGGAGTTTCAGCCCGAGACGAAGATCCTCTGAACTTAGTGCTTTTGTTGCATTGTCTGCACCACTTTAGAGGAAGTTAGTCCCCCTCTTTTCACCACCTGGACAGTCAGAGAGAATCATTATTTTATATCTGTAAAAATAATGAATTGGATGGACATTGCAGTTATTAAGATTCTAAATATTTTTATTCTTGTGTTTACTTTCTATAAAATGTATTTTGGAGATCTAATGAAGGAACTATTCAGAGCTCTACCGACCGGGATCAACTTATTTTAGTCCTTTTTAATTACCCGTCAGTCACTTGTTTTCGCAGTGGCTATTCCATTTTCTAGTTAGCAGTGGACAACGAATAGTCTAATAATAATAATAATTGTGGGTTTAAGTTCACTGTTAAGTTTTCCAGCCCTCAATTTAACGTCACTCTGCCCACTTACAGAGTTATTTTCAGCCAAGGCATCAAGCTGTTTTCATTGGACACGTTTTGAAAGCCCACTTTACAATACCTGCAGCAGATTGACACAATTATTCACTAACTCTATTATTGATTACTCAACAGTGTTTCAAACCCCTCTCCACAATGCCAGATTGTCCAGGTTAATATTACTGGGTAGCAAATGATGAGGCCAGAAAGTATTCAATTGTACATTTTGAGTCTAAAAATAATGCAATAAACGTATAAAATACTCACCATATACGGGGCGAAGCCTGCGAGCTAGTTCAGGCAGTCAACTCGAGCACTTACGCTAAATTCATACATAACGCCCATTCCCACTCTACAACCAACCAAACAGAGTCTCCTTAATATGCCGCTCTTTTTAGGCTGCCAGATTTCTCTCCATGCATTGCTTGCTGCTATTGCTGCAGCTACTTCCACGTCGCTGCTTGCTGCCCGACCACCACCCGAGCTTCCACCTGTAGGCTCGGGGGGTTAGTTCAATCAATCAATCAATCAATCAATGTTTATTTATATAGCCCAATATCACAAATGTTACATTTGTCTCAATGGACTTCACAGTTTGTACAGAATATCAGTATGACAATACGACACCCTCTGTTCTTAGACCCTCACATTGTACAAGGAAAAACTTCCAGAGAAAACCCACAGTTTAAAGGGAAAAATGGGAGAAACCTCAGGGAGAGCAACAGAGGAGGGATCCCTCTCCCAGGACGGACAGACGTGCAATAGATGCCGTGTGTAAATTGAAAAGATAATACATTTGCAACATAGGTAGTCCAAATGTTTGGAAATGCATGTGTGTATAATAGGAAGATGAATCCACGAGTATATCCATCCAGGACTTATGATCCAGGACCACAGCCACGACCAGGCTCAAGATCCAGGACTCGCAATCCATGACACAGGACCGCAGGATCATCCATGACTCCGGATCCCGGCGTATATAGACACCAAAAAGAAAGAAATTTGGGGAAGCTGGGTTAATCGGAACATGAGAGTACACAGGTATAGACAGAGAGAAGGAAGAAGTAAGATGTCCCCCGACAAACTAAGCCTATATCAGCAAAACTAGGGGCTGAATCTAATCAGCCCTAACTATAAGCTTTATCAAAAAGGAAGGTCTTAAGCGCACTCTTAAAAACGGATAGGGTGTCTGCCGTCCGAACACAAACTGGAAGCTGATTCCACAAAAGTGGAGCTTGATAAGAAAAGGCTCTGGCTCCCATTGTACTTTTAGAGATTCTAGGAACAACCAACAACCCTGCATTCTTGGAACGCAATGCCCTAGTAGGACAATAGGGTATAATGAGTTCTTTAAGGTAAGATGGCGCCTGCCCATTAAGGGCTTTGTAGGCGAGAAGAAGAATTTTAAATTCTATCCTGTGTTCTATAGGGAGCCAGTGTAAGGCAGCCAGAACAGGAGTAATGTGGTCCCTTTTCCTAACTCTGGTTAGTACACGAGCTGCAGCATTTTGAATCAGCTGAAGCGACTTGACTGACTTCTTGGTACACCCTGATAATAAGGAGTTACAATAATCCAGCCTTGAAGTAACAAATGCATGGACTAGTTTCTCTGCATCGTTTTGAGGCAAGATATGCCTGATTTTTGCAATGTTACGTAGATGGAAGTAGGCGGTCCTTGAAATTGATTTTATGTGGGTGTTAAAGGATAAATCCTGATCAAATATAACACCAAGATTCCTTAGTTATTTAATCATCACTCATCGTGCTATGTATATCTGTGGAGTGATGAGGCCCCAGCCTAGATGCCAAACTCAACTATATGCTGCTTCTAATAAACATGTTAAAGAAACACTTGTCTGACTGAAATGTTTTTAATTGGAAAATGTAAACCCCACGTTTCTTAAATGCACAATGCCCCCCCAAGGACATTAACTCAGTTTACTTCAATATGGTCCTCGCAAACTCTGGTCAGGGCCTTTTCAGTGATTTACAGCTGTTGACTATGCCTACATTAAACGCTGAGTGTTGATGCAATGAATAAAGTATTCAGTCATCAGTTTTTAAGATAATGAAGTTGCTGCTAACAGCTACGAAAAAAACCCCGCTGTTCTACTGTAGTGAGCACCAAGATTAAAAGACACAGCAGTTGATTAAAAAAACTGCAGTGTGATTTAAAAAATAATTCACAAGCCTTTAAATATTCCGTTGTTTAATAATTGTACTGTTCACCTTCATTATCCTTTATTTCTTCAGCACTCTGGATTGTCATCTTTAAACATGCAAAACTCTTTACCGTCTAAACAGTTTTTCTATATTGATAGGAATTGTCATGACAAAAATAAGATCCAGTGACATATTCCAGAAGAATAATGAGTAGTTTGAACACCTAAAACCAGGTTTTCTGTGCCACGTGACTTTGACCTGCATTTCAATCCGGTCCCTTGAAAGATACCCTGATGCCCTTTTTGATTGAAGAACCATTTAACACTCATTAACTGGTTGTTATGATAATGCCTGATTTATGGCTCTTTACATCCAACCACTCTCAGCCTGGCATGCAGCACAAACATCTCTAGAGCTCAAGGTTCATCTGTGCTGTCAGATACTTTGGGTAATAAGCTGGTGGTCTGTTGTACGAGGCACAGTTTGCTGCATCTTCCTCCACTGTGAGGAAAAATGGACGAGGAGAAGGGCAGCCGTCGGTCCAGGGGTTGCAGCACCCTGGAAAAATGTCTGATATTTCTTTTCGTGGCCATGACCGGCGTCTGCATCGGCCTCGTGGTCGTCTACTTCACTGAGAATAACTCGACTACTCTTACAGAAGGTGAGTGTGTATACTTAGAATATGGATTGTACTTCATTTCAATACTGGCATGTTTCTGAGGTATTTTATGCTTTATGCCCCTCTTGAATTCATTTTGGAGATGTAACAAAGTATATAAATCAAATAACTGAAACATTGTGTTGACATAACAAACCACATATAAAATTACTTTGGTTCCTTGAAATACTTGAAAGCGTGTTAATATGAGGGAGGACAAATCAAGGCGTTGAACATTTTTGAAAATGAATCAAAGGTCCTTGAAAGTGTTTCTATTTTGTGATGTCCTGTGTTAGAGAAGTCTGCCATGACTGTAACAGTAATTAAGATGTGTTCACGCATTCAAGCCCTCTCATATTAACTGTTGTATGTGAGCTTTTTACTTCTTAAAATAAACATTCCCAGTATTAATTCCCTAAGTAATTAATCTTGATCCGAGTCTCAAACAATGTGCAAACCTAAGGAAAGTTGGCCTTTAAATTCCTCCAATTTGTTTTAATATGAGGGACCCTGATTAACTTAATAGTAATCAAATATGCATAATGTCTGTACATGAATGTATTAAAATAAACAAATACATATTTCAAATGATACAGTTTTTTCTAACTATTTTTTTCAACCTCACTTGATCTTAATTATAAATTCACAAACCGCCTCCTCCCCCAATCCCCTGTCCACCTATTTGACCCCAGTGGCCTGAGCTATTATCAGATTATTATTTCCCTTCTATTTTTCCCCCTCTTAGATAATATTACAGTAGATAAACATTCTTACTTTAAATTCAATTAAACATGCTGCAATATTTTTGCCATCTCTTATGTTTTTTGCTTAAAGGTGGGGTAGGTAATTCACTTCAGAAGCACTTTTTGTTATATTCCATGGAATGCTCTTAACATCCCGATAGCAATGAATATATTAAATGCTTTGACAATAAATATATAAAAACATTTCATCTGTGGAAGCCGTGGCGCTGTAAAAAGCACGACCAATCATCTGAGCCGGCCCGGCTAAAATAACTGGATGGCCTACCTGCCTGTCAGTTGGAGGAGGGGCTCTGTAAGGAAGTCTGAAGGAAGTGGCAGATTTTTTCCGGTTGTGTATTTTCAAATTCTAGCGCACTCGAGCTGGTTTCTCCATTCTTACCTACCCCACCTTTAAGTGCATAGTCCCTCTCAGATAAGATAATATGCAATAGCACTTAACCTCACAATAAGATACAAATACTGTATTACAGTGACGTAATGTTTCTACAAGAAGAACTAGAATAAAATGTTTGTATTAGAGGTTTCAGTGCCTCGATCACACATTTGAAGCAAGACACAGTTTAATGCGTTGGAGCTGTGAGGAAAAACAAACACAGCGACAGTGAAGAGTCTGAAGTGAGAGTGTCCTTAGGCCAATGATTCAGAGGGCCTTTCTCACTTCGGTTAAATGGATTCCTTGCGTCCCTCACTTGCGTCGTTTCCCTGTGACTACTAGTCCCTCCCACCAGGGAAGCATGGAGGGACGCAAGGAAACCACGAGAAGCAGGGAAATGAGTTTTAAGAGCAATGGGACGTCCTTGCCTCCGGAGCGTCACGTGAAGCGACGTCCGTTTGTGATGACGCTGCAAAGCTGATCGTCTGGGTGTATTTCCACACAAACCCCCGCCTCTGTTAGTACTGACACAAACATTTGTATCATCTTGTTAACCCAAAAAATAAAATAAAAAAATGTAAGAAAAAAACTAAAAAATTTTTTTTCCCAAAAAAAAAAAAAAAAAAAGATTTAAAAAAAACCGCCCCAAAAATTTTCTTTTTTTAAAAAATTGGGGTATTTTTAAAACCGAACCCAAATAAAGTTTTTTTTGGGGAAAAATTGGGAAAAAAAAAATAAAAATTTTTTTTTGAAAAGTTTTTTTTTTTTGGCGACAATAAAGTTAAATAAAATTGGAAAAAAAAAAAAAAGAAGGAAAAGGAAAAAGAAAAAGAATTTTATGGTTTTTTTTTTTTTTTTAAAAAAAAAATTTCAATTTTTCCCTGTTTCAAAAAAAAAAACCAAAGGGTTTTTTTTTTTTTTTTTTTTAAAAAAAAGGGGATTTTAAACCATTTTTTTACAAAAAAAATTTGGG